ATATTACATATACTCGTAGCGATGCAGTATCATGTATCAGCAGATAATGAGCCAAGAAAAATATATGATAGCATGTTGTTCTGATAATATGCAGATTTCAATTGTTGCATTGGGAATATCTGAAAAATAAAGACTTTTTTTAATTATTATTCTAACAACTTGTTTTAAAATAACTGATAGTTCAAAAACTGAGAAAACACACTTTAATAGCAAACTCGATTAAAAAATTGAAAATAAAAAGTTCAGGAGAGTTTGTGTTACTGGAATAGGAACTCCAATAATCAAATATGACTAATTAATTTGGAATAAGATCAGTATAAAAATTAAGATATCAACAAAAAATTCAATTCTAGCGAAGATCATGTGGTGCTTTATATTATACTAAGTGACATATAAATCCGAACACCCAGTTTAAATGGTTTCATTTTAATAAAAGTTGGTGAATGTATTTATCTTACTGTAAATAACAAGTGAAAAAATGTTCAGCCTTATCAGTTGGACATTCCGGTTTTTATACTGCTTTTTTTTTAATTCACTAACGCTCTAAAAATGAATATTTCAGCCGCAGTAAAGAATCAACGTTGGCGCATTTTGGTTCTTGACATCCTTTACGATCGGTTACGATGCCTAGAGTACGGAGACCTGTACGATTTCGTCAACTTAGTGAGTTTGATAGGAGCCGTATAGTGGGACTTCGGGAAGCTGGACTTTCTTTTCGGGCAATTACAGTTAGAGTGCAAAGAAGTGTAGACACTGTGGTTAGGTGTTGTCAGGCATGGCTTCGAGAAGGCCGTACGCAAAGAGCAAGGGGCACTGGACGCCGCCGTAGAACAACAGACCGTGAAGATCGCCGCCTAAGGTTATTGGCCTTAAGGGACCGTTTCTCCACTACCAGGTCCATTGCAAATGAATGTTTTGCAGAACACGGAAGACCTATTGGCATGCGAAGTGTTTACCGACGAATGAGAAGTTTTGGCTTGTTTCATACCGGCCACACTGGGTCCTCCCTTTAACTCGAGAACACCGACGTAATCGCCTTGAGTGGTGCAGACAACGGTCACTCTGGGATCAGGAATGGAACAGTATTGTCTTTATTGACGAGTCTCGATTTTGTTTAGGCATGCACGATGGTCGTGCCAGGGTTAGAAGGCGACGTGGTGAAAGGAGGAATCCACAGTTTCTTGTTGAAAGACATGTTCATCACACTGTGGAGTTATGGTTTGGGGTGCTATAGCTTATGGTTCCAGGTCACCGTTAATCTTCATCAGAGGTAACATGAACGCGCAGCGTTATATCCACGAAGTTCTAGAACACCATCTTTTACCCTATCTTGACACCCCTGGCAGATCCAACTTTCCAACAAGATAATGCCCGACCACATGTTGCAAGAGTCACAATAGACTTCTTTCAACATGATGATGTCACATTGTTACCATGGCCACCAAGATCTCCGACTTATCCACAATTGAGCACGTGTGGAGAGGAGTTGGTGGTTGCCTGGAATGAGATACCACAGGAGGACATTGACCACCTGATCAGAAGCATGCCTAGGCGCGTTGGAGAATGCGTAGCACATCAGGGTGCATCCACACATTATTAAAGGTCAAAGGGCTTTAAAGCAGTGCAATCATTTGAAATTTTTATCATTTACTTATTATGCTTCATTAAGTGCTTATACAAAATTTTATTAAAATAAAACCATTTAAACTGGGTGTTCGGATTTATATGTCACTTAGTATATATATTAGTTGCTATTTACAAAATTGGAGTTATTAAGAACATATAGTTAATTGCACCACATGGTCTCCTACTATAGTTGAACTTTTTGTTAATATCTTAATTTTTATCTTAATCTTATTCCAACTTAATAATTTATACTTGATTTTTGGACTTTATAATGCCGTAGCACAAGCTCTTCCATACTTTGAATTATTTTCTACTTTTTAGATGATTTGCATTAAAAGCGTGCTTTTTGAGTTTTTTTACACAATAATTTAAAAGTTTGTAGTCCCAGAAGAACTGCAATCAAGAGCTTCGCTTTTTGATAAATTTTAACATTTGCACTCATCCGGTAATTTACATGTCGGCAATTTTTAACCTTGCTTGGTAGGCTAACAAGAGGCGATATTTTGATTTTCGAAGACCGCACGAAAAAATAAAAATGTAGAAAACGAAGTAATTTTGAGCTACTGCCTTATTCGCAACTTTTACATAAGCTGACTTTGTGCCTTCATTGGAAATATTTTGTTAGAACACGTTTTGTGTGATTTGCATATTTCAGGTGAAAGTGTTAGATTTTCTTATATGAAAAACGCCTGTCTTTTTTTGGAAAACATACCGATGCTAATGCTTCAACATCATATTACTTGCATATTATACATTTCCCCAATCAGTCTCATCAGTGTGCTTATAGCTAAATTTATCATTTTATTTTCCTATGAACTTACTGCTCTAGCTTGGAAATAGCATCGAGCGCAAAAATGCTTCATTAATAGTTTAGGTGGCAATACTAAATGATTATTCTGTTTCTTTTCAGATCGCACCTACCAGGCAAAGGATGATGGTACTAGGGAAATTCATTTTAGTAGCATTTATTGCAGAATTTACAGTAATAGTAAGTATGGAATTAGTGTAGCCAATTTTAGTAGTACATAGACTGTTCTACGGCCAAGTAAAACCTCGTAACTATGGGATAACTAAAGGATGGCTTTACATCAAAAAGTCTAAAAGTAATACAGATACTTAGCAGCATTCCATGGGCATCACTGATAGGTTCTTATGTTCACAAAGTTATACACCGCATCTGTCAGACTTACTTCCCACGCCTGCTGGCGAGGAATTATTAAAATCGCAAAAAATCGAAAATGAGGTATTATGTCTTTTGGATGTTATTATAACATGTCAATTACGAAAAATCATGTCAGCCATTTTCGTTGACCTGTCTGTCGGTCCGTCCGTTAATCCATGACCCGTCGGTACCGTCCTGCTCGGATTTCAAATTCAAATTCAAATTCAAATTCAAATTCAAAATATTTATTTCGTCATGAATAAACATCATAAACAAAAGAAATTCTACATATAGAGTAATGACGAAAAAGGACAGTCCTCGATTATAAAACCGATACATTGGACCCTTTAATACAAAGAGTCCATGCGAGAAAGCCCTGAATACCCTAAAAGTTCTTAAAAAAATAACAAATACAATAAAGAGGCAAATGAAGAGGCGGTGAAAACAAAAAAGGCAAAAACGAAGAGAGAACCCCCGGGAGCTGGCAACGGACGCGAAAAACAAATCTATACAACTTGTCAGCGAGTAGGAATGTAAAAACGTTATTTTGCTCACACAAACGCTGCTAAAGTAGCTGGT